AAAATGTTCCATTATAACATGGCAATCATGAGTCTTTAAACTCTTTAACTTTAGGTCTTTCATTGACACAAGTCTTCTAATATCTGATGAGTAGCCTTCTGGAACTTTAACTTCACTGAGGAACTTACACAATATTTTCTTCTCCTTTCTAGATAGAGTGTAAACAGCAGGTGGTAGATATGTGCGTCTTCCTTTCGTCACGGGTGCCAATTCAGTTCTAATTCCCATGTTTAACATGTCCTTCCTTATGTTAATGCCATCCTTAGACTTTCCTTGTATATTGAGTAACGTACCAATAACACTATCAAATACATTTTTTTCAATATGCATAACATCGAGGAAATGTCTTACGTACAACGACTTCCAATATGGAAGTTCAAAAAAAATCGACCTCTTCTTCCACCCACTCGTGACAAGTCTATGTGCAAAAGGCTTGCCAAACTCAGTACTCACATCTTTCACCTTTTAAAAAATCTGATCACCTGTCAACATATGTGGAGCTCTACCGTGTTCTGCCTCTCCATTGAATGCCTTTCTCCACCCACGATAGTGATGATTAGAATTTAAGAATCTACGATGACCGAGAAAAACATTCTTCTGACAAAAGTTCAATCGCATCGTATCGGTTTCATCTTCACAAACAGGACACGCTTTTTGACCCTTAATGCTGTACCCTGATAGATTTCCGTACGCCGGAAAATCATTAATTGTTCCAAACAACATCGCCCTCAAGTTGAAACTTTCTTTCCTATACCCATCGTAAACCTCCACACCGGTCTCCCACAAAAACTTCAAATCTTCGACTAAGGGTGCCAAGTACACGTCTATGTCATTCCCTGGTTGTTTGGGCCCAGAAATTAACATAGATAGCATCATGTACTTACGCTTCGTACATAGCCACGGAGGTAGGTTATATATCATAAGAATCACAGGCCAGGTGCTATGCGAGATACTTTGAATACCATGCGGGTTCATTCCATCAGTAGACAACGACAAGCGAAGATTTCTTGCTTCTTTTCCAAATTCAGGATAATCAATATCAACTTTCGTCCACTGTGGTGAGTCTGCCGGATGTCGCAACTTCCCATCAATAATTCTTTCATCTGCATGCCAAGTCAAGTGTCTTGAATCGGTCTCACTACGATACATGCGCCTAAATCTCAGAATTATAGGAAAATACCATAACACCTTTTCCGGAGACAACTTTTCCTTATATCGAGGGGCACCGCATTTAGGACACTCATTTAACACTGCGTACTCGTTTCGAAATAAAACGCAATCTTTTGGACATGCATGTATCTTTTCATAGCTCATGCCAATAGAGGACAACATCTTTTTTGCCTCATACGTTCGATTGGGAAGAACATTATCCTCTGGTAGCATTTCTTTCACGAGGGCTAATAACTGTGTGAAACTTTTATTCGACCATCCGTTGGCCGCCTTTAAGTTGTACAACTTTAACACCGCAGACAATCTTGTGAATTTTGTACAACCATCATACAACGGTTTCTCTGCATCGCTTACCAACCTCTCGAACATTTTGGGACAATCCTCAAGATCTTCTTCAAGCGCTTCTGCAATCTCTTCGACTCGATCATAATCGTATGCGTCTGCGAAATCCTCATTTGAAGCATACGTCGTATTATAACTCGATTCAACATTCCCGCTACTTTTCTCACCATGCAAATTCCAACATGCATAACTTCTATCAATTCCATGCATCAGTAAATGCGATTCCAACTGAACCGCGTCAACCCGTCTCCCATAACAGCATCTCAAGCAAGGACATATCATTCCATTGGGTTCTCTGGCGTGCGCAACGGCAAACTTAACGAATTCTGATACCCCATCCTCATACTCTTTCGACAATCGATTGGCAGTCATCCATTTTTTATCCATGGTTTGACTATAGCAACTAATTAGTCACGCAACTATAGCAAAATAATAATTAATTACCTGTAAAGAAATTCAACATATCAGGTAATCAAATTCATAGTTATTCTTGCCTCACCTTAAGCATGTGCTAAACAACTCATAACTAATTACTAACTAGTGAAGTCGGATACTAGTGATTCAGTCTTGGATACAGGTAATAACAATTATATTCAAACAATAGTGAAGTCGGATTTCAAACCTTACGGTAAAGATTTCATCGGAGGAGAAGCAACCGGAAGATTTAGCAACGGAAAAATCCCGTCAGATATTTTTGGTATAGTCCTATAGTCCTAAATTCTAACATCTACACGCTAACTAATTTAACTCATTTAACCTGTAATATATTATTTTTTAATATAACTATTGTTGTGTATTATACTACTACTTATTATGTTGCAGGAAAAAAAGTAGATATATGTTCAATCATGGTTTTCATTCCTGCACCTATATTAATTTTTTATATACACTTCTTTTACAATCTAAGATAGGAGATAATATTCATTAATTATCAAATATTTAAACTTTGCTAATGCTTTGAAATTTTCATGTAACATATGCTTATGGAAATCTGAAACAGCACGCATTCCTTGCCAATAAAAGTCATAAAATTGGAAACAACCCTTTTGTACAGGCCAATTAAAAACAAGCCAATTCAAATGCAATTGATACTGTCTCAAATACAGTCTCAACTCATTGTGCTTGTTGCGACGTGAATACTAATTGAGAGGAGTTTGAAATACACATGTGATTTTATATCACACTGCAATGCGGAGGATACCGCAACAACAATAATGTGGCCACGGCCACAAATGCAGATGCAGGCCGCAATTTAGAACACAACATGGACAAATACACAAACACAACAAAGGTAACATGTAATAAGCACAAAAACAGACACCAAACACATCAACGACTTCGAGTAAACACGATACAACTTTAAGAAAATGAATGTGATTAAATGTGACTACATAGAAGGCATTAAGAACATCAATGTAAATTCAAAGAATCAACAATTACGTCAATGTCGTGTAAATCCAATATGTTAGTGCTACATAGAAGGCATTAAGAACATCAATGTAAATTCAAAGAATCAACAATTACAAAATTTAGAAGCAATTGTGCATAACAACTTGGACGTAAAATCACAGACTTACCGAGCTTTAGCAGAGTCCAAAACAATCAAACGAAATGAAAGTTGAAAATCAAGAATTTCCACGTTAAAAGAACCTGCGAGGAAACAAAAACATTATCGTTAACCAACGTAGAATGTTGAATTTTTCTAATAAATCAATTGGTAGCATGTCAAATTCACTTATTTCAAAAGTCATAGGAACATTTGCATATCTTTCAAGTTAAAATCAAGTAGAAAATAGAAATAGTAACATGTGCTGCTATTGCAGTTTGAAATGGGGCGGTCAGTAGTTAATTATAGAAGAAATTGTGCAAGCTATGCTAACATAATTATAGAAGAAAGCTGTTGAGGCATTTTCACAAACAGTTTGTGAGTGCACATATTAAGCAGTATTATAAACATAAAGGATGACCCATGTGAATTCAAATAAGATGAAAAATAATCCAATTATAACCCTATTGATTCCTATAACATGAAGATTTATAACATGTGAATTCAATTGAGATGAAAATTGGAAGTTAATTTTAAGAAAACTAGAGATTAAAGAGAAATGGAGAGAGAAAATTACCTTTGTTCTGGGATGGAGAAATATTGACGGCGGCGCAATGGGTTGATGGTGGCGGTGAAGCTTTGCTAAACGGAACAGATGAATGAGGTATTCGTATACATATGAAAACGAGAGAATGAGGTATTCCTAAAGAGGTATTCGTATACAGATGAAAACAGATGAATGAGGTATTCGTATGAAGCTTTGCTAAATGGAACAGATGAATGAGGTATTCCTAAAGAGCGCTTTTCATTTTATTTAATTTTGATATTTGAGCTACCACGGCGCTTTTAGCCTAAAAAGCGCTTTAGTAGCATCAGACCCTATGCCAGCGCTTTTGAAAGCGCTTTCAAAGGCCAATCTTCCACAGCGCTTTTTAAAAAGCGCCTTCATAACCCTATTATTTCGTTTTTATTAATATTTTTATTTGACCTACCACAGCGCTTTTAATGTAAAAAGCGCTTTCGTATCCCCCACCTATGCCAGCGCTTTTAAAAAAGCGCCTTCGTAGGTTTCCCTTTTTTTTAATTTTGTTTTTTGTGAAGGCTATGGCAGCGCTTTTTCAATAAGCGCTTTAGTAGAGGCGCTGCAAAAAGCAGTTTTTGGCGTAGTGTAGCTTGAAACTAAAATCTTGAATAATGATACTTTGTCTTTGAATAACATCTCTGCCTTCTTATTACTTAGAGCTTTGTCTTCCTCAAAATACGTTTATCATAGAGAAGGTTGACTTCACAATTTGAAAGTGATTCTTAAATGGTGGTCCAAGCAATTCATGCCAACTATACTTGTAGTTCTAAATTTAGTTTAATCATATGTTTTATTAAGAGTTTATTAAAATCTCATCCCAACTTTCAGGTAGAGTTTGTTAAACGCCAAAAAAAAAATTGGTTGCTCACTTGTTAGCTAAAACTGTTAATTCTTGGACTAGACATAGTATTTTTCATTTGTGACCTCCTTGTATTGAACAACCTTCACTAATGAAATGAGTTAAATTTGTTTGTGGAAAAAAAACTATGCGACCTTGATTAAAGCATATTTGAATTTATTCACTCACCCTTCGGATCTTCGGGTGATGACTCTTGGTAACAAATAAACCTTCGGATCTTCGGGTGATGACTCTTGGTAACAAGTAAATTTTAAATGCATTTGTGGTTCATAGATTGAGTTTTAGAAAACGGTATGCAGTCGCAAAAACATTCTAATAAAATGGTATCGGTAAATGCCGTTATCAATATTGTTATCACCGTTTTATGTTAAATAATAAATTGTGGTTAATTCACACAGCGACTAGGGTTTTAAAAAACAGTCTGCAACCGCAAAAACAGGAATGACAAAACGGTTTTAACATATATTTGTTTTTATATTATAAAATAATTTGTACTTAATTCACACCGTGATGATGACAATCAATGTCGTGACACCTGTAATCGTGAAAACCTCTATGCGATCACATCTTTTTTCTAAAATCTTAGTTGCAACGACTTCGGTCAGTGTCACGACATCTGTACTAACCGAAAACGAGAAAACTTTTAAGTGACTGTGATCATTTTTTAATACCATGGTTGGGGCTTTCAAGCCTAATTCTAAATCCTTGATAGAAATGACTTCGGTTTGGAGCACTTTTAAATTTTTTTTGACATAATAGGTGGTTCCCGATTTCCATGGAATTATTGATTAGGCTCCTCGTACGGTTCCACAAGTTAAACACAGTAAGGTTGTCAGAAGTTATACGGATGAAAGTCACGAGTGGAAAATTAGAGGAGTGATGTCTTTTTGGTGTGGTGGAGATGTCCAACATGCGGCAGACCTGCTGGAACACTGCGGGGCTGACATTATTACAATTCGACAAAGAACTTGTCAATGAACATTTGCAGGAGTTTGGCAGGTTCGTGTGGCTACGCTACTGTGGGTTCTGTGGAAGAATAGATATAATTGATTGTGAAACGATAGCAAATTTTTTACCATAGAGACTTTTTACCATAGATTAATTTTGAAAAACTGTGAAATCTTGTATTGTAGAATGTCTTGCATACCACTAAGGTTGGCTTCAATGTAATCGAATATCATCTGTTAGTGCAAAAGCGAAGCGAATGTGATGATGGGTTGCTATCGGTGAATGTCAACAACGATTTCTCACCATCTCAAATAAGGTGAAAATGTGAAAAGCATTGTTGTTAAAAATAACATGCTCAACTCAAGCTTGATTATTACATTGATCAAAACAAATTCCATAATAAGAAACTCATACTTCCCTCTATATATATATCCTCTAAAATAGTAGTAACATAGTAGGAATATATAAATTAACACTCATTCTCCAGAATCAAAGAGGAGAAGGTGCAGGTGCCACCACAATGTCTTCTGAAAGAGCAGAAACGGGTCCAAATGCAGCTCCAGAACTCACAAGCTCAACCATAGCACGACGAGGGTTGCTCCTGTGTTTCTCACATAGTTCCGGCAAAAACACTCCTGTTATTCGCCACATCAATGCAAGTTTAGTTGTTATCTATTGCTAATTAACAAAAATACTAGGACAATAGTGCATTAGGATTATCAATGAATAACTCTTACCCTCTCCCGCAGCCAAATTGAAGAAAAGATCAACAATATTGGGACACTTTTGGTAGCAAGATGGTGAGCAAAGTTTGGCAGTGAAGTGTGGCTCAAAGAAAGCATCAGATGAAATACCAACAGAAGTTCTATCAACACCACATGCTTCAACACATTGGTCTGTCTCTATGTACTCTGAGATTCTCTCCACCACAACTTCCGATGTTCTGCATTCATATTCAATTTCACCTTTCACTCCTTTTTCTGTCTCCAACAAACACCTCTTCCCAGATGAAGCTATTGAGAAACTACACACTTCTTTCGGTAACTCCTCGCATATCATCTCAGCTGCAAAGTTCATCACTAACTTTAATATACATAACATAACAAAATATCAAAGAAAAATAGTAGACTATAATATACATACCAAAAGATGCATGGATGAGAAAAGAAGAAAGTAATAAAACCAATGATAGTTTGTTTGAGAAAGACATGGTTCTACTAAACAAAGGTTTTTCTCTTTTTCGACGTCTTGTATGTATATGTAACGAGAAGAGCTGAAGATATATGGAGAACTATGATATGGAAATGGCATCATATGGTGTTATATATAGACGAAAATGAAGTGGTAAAACTAAAACGCGCGTTTGACTTAATGACGTGTTTGGAAGGTGCAAAATTTGGCCAACTCTACGAAATGTCATTGTTTTTAGTTTTACATAACTTTTTGGTGTCTAACTTTTAATAACTAATAAAACAAAGACGGTTCTTAAAAAGTTTGGTTTTATATTTTTTTATTATACGTTTTGATCGTTGAATTGTAACCTTTGGTGGTTGATATGGGTGTGCATGATTATTGACGATATGTAAGACGTGTTTGGAGGTTTGCATTAACGACTTTTAGAGGCTTCTTGTAAATTAAGTTATAGAAGTCAACTTCACTATTTGTTTAATTTTCACGTTTAATTCATATTCATGTATAAGTTGATTACTTGCATATATTGTATCGGTGGCATCTTTGTTTTTGAATAATTTCTGAGAGAAAAATGGAAGCGCGTTTAACATTTGTGGGGTAACAAAATTCACTTTGTCGTCGTTGAAAGCAAGTTTGTTTAATCTTTATTGTTTATTGTTTATAAGAAGCTAAATTCTTACTTATTTTTTTGTAAAATTTAAGAGTAATGTGTATCAATCAAATTTTGTTATATAAAATAAAATTTTAAAATCACATATTAATCTAAAATTTTAAAGAATTTAAATAAAATCAAGAAAATAATATATAATTTGATTTTTAAGTTAGAAGGTGTTGATATGTAAGTGTGAATTTTTTTTTAAGTTAGAAAAGACATGGACTCAATATCTTAAAATTTCTCATTAATATGTGAATTTAAAAATTAATTTTATGTGATAAAATTTTATTGATATAGATCATTAACGATAAATTACCCTTAATTTTATAAGGAGTAGTTTATGTTGTCTCAGCTTATAAAATGTATATTGTTGTACCCTAATTTTTGCTCCTAAGATTCCTCTATCATCTCATGATATCACAATGCAACCAAATCACAAGCTAGGGTTTGGGGTTTTTCTCCTACTGCATCCTGTCTTTAGGTTTACTTATGGGAATCACGAAGCATCTTGAAGCACTTTGAATTGTGTATCTTTGTATATATATATGCTTCTAACTAACCTCAAAATGTGTATATTTTGTTTCTTGAAACATCATATTGTAGGTAATGGCACAATTGCAGTCATCTCACCATCTCCTAGCACAGAGGATCAAAACTAGAGTTTGGATTTTAATCAGGAGATCTTTAGATTTTTGGGTAATTCTTGATCCCATACTTCTCTACATAGTCATGCGCTTCTATCATTGGAAGTTTGATCATCAACTTTGGCTTGAAAGGATTCAATTGATTAAAAGGGATAAAATAATCATTTTGTCAAAAGATGGTCAAAGTCAGTTGTTGACCAAGTGAACTTTTGGTCAACTATCAATTCAGTATCCCTATTCTCACATTTCATGGTCAATATTGGCAAAAACTTCAAGATGAGGTGTGAATTGGAGACAACTTGTCAAGGAAGTTATTTGAAGTTTTGAAAATTTTCTAAGTATCCATAGGGTTGAATTTTGATTGGCTATAACTTTCTCAATTTTTATTGAGAATATGAAAACTTTATATGTTTAGAAATAGGATGAAAAATTCTCCAACTTTGTAGGAGAGGCCACAAGTCTAAAAAGTGAAAAGAAAAAAAAGTTACGAAGCTTGGAAGTTTTTGACACTTAGTGAAATTTTAGTTAAAATTGCAAAAATCTGACTTTTTCTTGTCCATTTTTGAATGACCATTTGGACTCAAATCAAAAGGTTGGCAACATGAAAGTTTAAGATTGAAGTTTTATCTTTATTTTTCATTCAAGAATCATCTCAAATGGTTAAGTGTAGAGAAAGATATGGTGATTAGGATTTTGAGCTGAAAACTAAATTTTTGCCCAGTACAAGGCATGTCACGCGCGCTAGGCAGGAATTTCATCAAACATGTTGTGGGGGCGCATTTATCATCACTTTTCTATGAGAAATATTCATTATTTTTAAAAATGTCCAACATCAAAGATCAAGCCCTAAATGTGAGGAACACCTTTGCTTCAGAAAGTTTCTCCAAATTCTTCCTACATTTTGAGATATAATTGTGAGAATAAGGTACCATGCAAGCTGAATTTTTTGCCCAGCAAGGCCTCACGTGCACGCAGCAAGCCCAGTCAGGCTTGGCATTTTATCAAACAATTTGTAAGCACACATTCATGGCCAAATATCTCATTGATTCAAGTTTCATTTTGAAAAATTTTGAACATGAAAGTTGGAGTATGAAGTGTCCTCTTCATTTTTAATTCAAAGTTTGTGACATTTCATGCATCATAGAGGAAGATATAAGGAGGTAAATAAGTGTTCATGTTTTAAAACTATTTTTGATTTAGGTATGTATTTAGGGTTTTACCTTTGATCAATGCATGTAATTGAAAGCTTTTGTACATGATTCTTGTTTAATTCTTGAAATATCATGTGGTACTGACTTGAGACATATTTTGAGACAAATTCTTCAACATCATTAGGTCTTAGGTATTGATAGGTTCATAAACCAAAGCCATTAAAATGGACGAATGATGTTGATGATATTTGAAACTCTAATCCCTTTCCCTCTTCATCTTATCCCCCTTTCTTATTGTATTACATGTTATGGGATAATGATCTTTATATAATTTACCCAAACATGAAGTACATAGATTGCTATTGACCGACCACAAAATAGGTGCGACTTCTACATAAGTCCACTTACGATTGCTTAATATAGCGCTAAATTTTGTCCCGATTTGAGAAAATGATCATTTGTGGCCCAAACCTATGTTTGTATGCTCAAGTATATTAATTTGATCCCTTTGATCCAATAACCTTGAGATTCATGGTTAGAAGGCTTTGGTTCTACCAATCCTCCAATGGATCTTCATAAATTTTGGTCAACGCGGATCACTTAAACATCGTTGGTGTGATCGGTGGAAATAGAACTGACTGTTTTTGGAATGTTGGTTCGCGAAATGTCGCGGTAAGCAAGAGTCGCCACCGTCTTTTATTTTCTCCAACAAGGAAAGGACAAAAGCACAACAAAATTCCTTTTCGATATGTTTCTCGGTTCGGGAGGTAGATTATAGAAAGGGAAGGTGTTAGCACCCTTTCTATCCGTGGTTATCCATGGGCTCTTAGGTACTTGCTCACTATGTTTTCAAAAATGTTTTGCTTTTCTTGTGTTTGTGGGTTTTGATAAAGTTTGTTTGAAAACTTTGATTTTAACTCTTGTATCAGTCCTCAAGAGTGTATGAAGTATTTGTTTGAAAACTTTTGTCAGAAAAGTGTAGGTGCGAAAAGTATTTTTGTTTTGAAAGAGCAAGTATCTAAGAACCTCTACCTACTCAAAAGAAATTAAGTTGTGTAAATGTCCTTTAGACAGTACTATCCCACTATTGAGAAGTAGGTAGCACCGTCGTTGGAGTTTTCGGGTCAATTCAATTAAGGGACATGTGGTCACTAAAGCAATGGTAGGACGCCTTAGCGGTAACCCTAATGTCCTATATCATTTTTATCCGAGGAAACCGTTCCGAGGCAACTTTGATCTTTAGACAGGAGGGCGACCTCTAAAACACCCTATACTCAATGACCACGTCGAGGCAACCAAGTGAGGCGTACCCTAGGAGTGGCATGTGCGAGTGTGTCAGGTTTCAGTTAAGTTATCTTTGCACATGTTATGGTGAGCTACGGGTTGATTTTAATTTCAGAGATAAGTCTTGTCATGCATAGCCTAGTTAACATACATCTAACAGTTAATGGTTGCAGAAAATAAATTTACGCTATTACAAGGCATCGGGTATTTACTTCGCCAAAAACAAACCCTTGAAAAGTAAATTGCGGGAAATTAAAGGAAAGCGATAAAAAGTCCTAATTAAAGCTATTACATCCTCGGAACAATTACATAATAATGATCAAAAATAATATGCGCGAAAAGAATTGAATCGGAGAAGTTCTTAGGGTTTTGACCCTTTTTGAGAAAGAAAGGAGTTTTATCTATTTTGCATTTAATTAAATTAATCCTAAAACAAATTAATTAATAAAAAGAAATATTTTTGGTTTTTTAATGTCTCAAGGAAATAAATAAAAAATAGTCAAAAGTTAGTAAAAACCCTAATTCTATGTTAATTTTATTTATTGTAAAAAAAGTTAAAATTAACCCTAATTAAACTAAATTAATGATGTTAGTATTTATTTACAAAAATAATAAAGGGTGAAATTAATTTTAATAAGTAATAATAAAAATAATATATTTTTTAATCTTCTGATTTTATTATGAAAAATTAATTTGGTTAGTTAAATAATAATAATAATAATTAATAGTAAAATAATTAAATGGAAGATATAAAAGAAAAAAAAAAGGAAAGAATAAACCCAGGGGGTGTTGGCCCAATTAGGAGGTATGCTATGCAATTCTCAAGCCCAATTATTTCCAGCCTCTTTGACTTTTTTGGATCGTTCACCCATGCATTGACCAGGGACTATGGTAGTCACTCCATCCTGGCCATTGGTTCTAAGCTTGAGGCCACTTGGCGCGCTGGGATGTGAAGCACATGGTGGGTCTCTTTTGGAAAGCTGCACAAGAATATGTTAAGAAAAAAATAGAATAAGCGTTTTGGGGGGGACCTGGGATTCGAACCCAGGTCCCAATGTTCATTGGATGCTTGCTCAACCACTCCACCACGTTGTCTCAATTGATATTAGAATAAAAGACAATTATTATATATGAAACAAACTAAAACGCTGTAAATAAAAAAGTAAACACGCGTTTTTTGAATAAGCCAATGGGACGCTAACACGTCCTCTTCTTCTTCGTTGTTCCTACAAAAGTAATATTAGATAGCGGGGGTTTTTAACCCCCACTATATGCTACGAGGAAA